GGGGGGGGGGGGGGGGGGGGGGGGGGGGGAACAGATAGTCCCTAATATCTCAAGGCTCAATACACGAGCCCAACGAGAATTGCCTTCTGAACTTTGAGAAATTAACCAGACTTGTAACCATTTCGGTTACTCTCTGGATTTATCACAGTGTGTTTAGCTAATCCAAACTCAAATGCTTGAAGGGTTAGTAGGTTCTTACCTCTCTTCTCTTATAGAAAGGAGGGAAGCTGTTCTATGAAAGTCCTATTCATGAAAGTGAAGATCATATCCAGCTGTCTCAATTTCAGGCTTCTTGGGGAAAAGACTGAGAATTCGCAGGGTTTGCGCTGAATGAGAGCCTGAAAGCGAAACTCCCTTTTCCGGACGATTCAATGTGTCGTTTCTACTGCAATCGACCGTTTTTACGAACTTGAAGCTAATTGAGTCCTTAGATCAATTATCGATACTTTATCTGAAAGTGAAGAGGAGATGGCATCGAGTCGAAACACGTACATGCCGTACTCGAGAAAGTGCGACGAGGTTTTATTTCCTGAAACTTCTAGTGCACGCATCATGTGGGAGAGGCAAAAACTGCAGATATTGGGGATCAAGAGTGCACGAGGGAGAAAAGTTAACAGCCATTGTTCATTGGACAGGAGAAGGGTCAAAGCACGTAGATGTTTGTTAGCAGCAGGGGTTGTTGATGGGACAGGAGAAGGGACAATACTCGTACATGAAGCTCCCTGCAATATAGTCAGCTACGGGAGAGCACCAGAATTTGACGTCGTCGAGTAAAGTGCACCCGTTGAAGGTCTGCCCCAGGTACGTGAAGGGGAAGACGCACGCCTTCCCGTTCCTCAGCCCGATGCACGTATTGGCTGCACCTGCACACACGCCACGAGAGGAGGCTAAAACTATGTCTATTACCGATTCGCTAGCAGAACGTCGGCTCGCGCGTCTCACCCTTGGCCATGGGTTCTGGTTGGTAGAGCTCCAGTCCCCCTCCGGCTTGGACATTCATGGTCGTGTTGTCGTCTGGCACCAGCTGGCACGTCCCTCCTGCCATGCACAAAACACTTCCTTTAACAGGTATACTCTTTTTTTTATTCGGGGATTTAACGTCTAAAGTAACCAGTGCCCAAGGATTTGCGGACTCCTGGGGCGCCAGAAGACAAGGAGGTATGGGTAGTTCCATTTCAAATCAGGCAGGGTCTGTCAGGTCACAGTCTTCAATTTTTTTTTCAAAAATAAATATATGCGTTCCTCCCATGCAAGTGAAATATGGTAGCTTATTCACGTCTGTATCAACAACAATTTCTGAGGGGAAAAAATTGATAACTGGAGTTCTCTAAAAAAAAAAATAAAATAAAAAAGGCGACTAGTCCAATCCCACTTCCCTTTCTTCACTTCACTTTCCCCACTTTCAATTCTGCTGTATCTCCTGAACTAATGTAAATAAGTTGAATGAAAGCATTTCGTGCATACCTTTCTCCCCTACAAGTCCAAAAAAGGTAAGCAAAATCGAAAGGGGGGTCGTCAATTTTCTCTATTTTTGCGTTGATCTGACATGGAATAATCAAAAAGGACAATCTATCGACAAATTAAAAAAAAAATTAGTGCGTGAATGGACGCAAAAAGGCTGCTCTGGATCGCCTGGGCGACATGGAAAAATGTATTATGAGTCTTGACGCACTTGAGTGTGTCATCATGCACATCTTACTACATCAGGAGACGCATTTGAATGCTTCCACGCTCATGACACATTACTTCGTGTCGCCAGGCCATTATCCAGACATGTCAATTGACACACTTCAGTGTGTTCGTTGGGATATTCCTGCCTCCAGTGTATCATTTGACACATCTCACTGCATCTGTATACACGTTGAAATGTGTATGCCTGATAACCAAAAGGAAGAAATTCTCTCATGATACATATATGTTTGTGAAATTTCACACTATATAGTGTAATTTCTCTCTGAGCAGAAGTGGAGAATTTAACCTCCTCAGAGTCCCCTTCCCCTCAGCCCCCTGGTCTCCGATTCGAAGGTATGTGGGCGAAAAAATTACCTAAATGCATGGAACATGAAAAAGACTTGGCCAAGCAAACCTAGGACAGGAATGAACCATGACTCGAATTGGAAATATACGAGGGATATATTTCCAAATATGGAAGGTCGACGGAGACGTAACCTATTACATGACGGAAGTTTGACCTGAGGGAAGCCAATGAAAAGCGACGCAGTTGTTCTTGCTGATGCATTTCAAGGCACACTCCTTCCTGGTTCTTGCCTTTGTTTGGATGAGATTCAGAGTTGCGAAGACCAACCCTCCGTTATCCACCTTCGTGAATTCATACTGCCTCACGGATTCCCCTCCTTCCATCGACACCGACAGGAGCATCAGCATGAACATTCCACTCCTCCCGTTCATCGTCCAAGATTGTGGTCTCTTCGAGCCGTGCTACGAAAGGAGTACCATCTTCTTGTTTAAGTACGTCACCTATATGGGTGTGATCCGGTTCTACAGACCGAAGTATTTCGAGCTTACCCTTGATGTCCTCGAAACTACCGCTGCTGTGGTATGACGTCTGGGTTACAGGGCGGTCCTCGTTCCTCTGGGTCGTGCGATGGAATGCTCTCTCTCTCCCACGCCTACTGCTCGCTCGATCGCTGATGAAATCAAAGCAACGATGGCTTGATCGCTGTGAACACAATGCTCCTCATCGATCACTGCCTCATTTACCGCATTGGCTTTCCTAACAGTGTGAGGCGTCTATTTGGTTGGAGTGCAGGGAGGTCTTCAGATTCTTACGAGGAATATGCCGTGTGAGGCACGGTGAGAAGAGAATCGACGAAGAAGGTATTCAGGAATTCATGAGAGACATTCCCGAAACGGCGCTATTTCCAGAACGTGGCTCACTCGAGAAAGAAATATCAAAGAATTCCATCTTCACATTCATCAATCCCTCTGCTTCATTTGACCAGGGAAACAGGATGAATTAGACTTGTGGAAAATTCATAAGCATCCCGAGTGAAATGAACTAAAATTCCAGTTTACAGGAGGGGATCATCCCCTTAATTATTGGCTCTAGGCAGACCGCGTCTGCTATGCGCCGAGCGTCTCGCAGCCGTCCCGATAGTAAAAGGCGATCCGCTGAAAAACGGAGATGAGGAAACGGAGAATGCAAAGGAAAAAATCATCCTGGACGATGTGGCTTCCTACAAGTGACCACTGTAGCATTTGAGATGTTCTCATCGTACTTTTCTTCATATTCAAGGGGTTTCCGGTCGAAACGAGCTGGAAAGCGAATATTTCCGTTCAGATGCGCTTAAAAAAGCCGCAGGGGTCTTCCTGGTGACGTCACAAATTATCGCTCGACGAATCAATGTCGTTTTTACTGCCAACAACAGCTTGTAGAAATGTGTAGTTACATCAATTGATAGTTTCCTGATGTATCATCTAGTAGACAAAGCGTTTATTTCCTTGAATTCCTTTGAGCGCATCACGCGGAGATGCAGACTTGCAGATGAGAGAAAACGACCGGGAAGAGCGAGCATTAGGGAAAGGGAATGCAAAACCGCCGGTCTGCGGCAGAGCCGACGTCGGCCCACGCGTTGCACGCCTTCCAGTCGCACGTCAACGTCAATACCGCGCGACTTCCCGCATTAACCCGCATGATGACTTCCATTAAGGCGTTATTGCGGTTGGCGTGAAAGGAACTTTGTCTCATTCACGCAAAGAATGCCCAGAAAGAGACACAATGAGGCAGGAAAAAGGCATGCATGGATGCATGAGAGGCACTCGTTCCGAGATTTATTGAATGGCAGGTGTCGCCTTTCCCATGTTCCCAGGTTGCTTCTGTTTCTGCTTCTTTTCGTCATTCGATATGCTAATGAACGCGGGAAGGAGGAAGGCCGGTGGAAAATCATTGGAACGTGTCGCTCGATAACGAGCGACTCGTTCCGGTAATTTAAATGCAGCGAAAAGCAGCAGCGCAGACGAAAACAGAATGGGGCAGTAAAAAAAAAAGTGCGCTGCTCGAGGCTTAATAAAACCTTTCTCAAACTGAAACGGAAAGCAATATTTGTCTCCTTTTTTTTGCAGCACACTCAGAGCACTTTTGAAAGCTGAGCGGAAAGACATCGAGCTTGCACGAGTTTTAATGAAGTTTTTTTTATGAGGTGGCACCTTTTCTTGTGACGAAGTGAGAACAAGTTTCACATTCGCATGACGGCGGATGCTGAATAGTCCTCAGACAGTTCCTCTCACCTGCCTCCTTCCTCCTCCTTCAGACAACGGGCGTGTTAACACTGTTAACACTAAGCCAAGAAATGGGCCTTACGAATACGGTTCCGGACAGGATGAGGCGGGGCTGCACTTCAGTAAAAGTGGGATGGAGGCAGTGGC